GTTTAACCCTGCAAACTTTCTTTACTCACTTTCCCTTTCAGCTAACCATAAAATTCCATGTGTGTGATGTAGCTAATGTTTTATGGGATCAGAGCCACACCACGTTAGTAACTTTAATCTCTTAAACTCTTTGGAACTGCCTTTGGAACACTGTGGTCTGTGTTCCTTGGATGTTTCCATTGATGAACATTGCTTATTCACACTCAGCTTCAGCACAGTTCAGCTGGAGCTGCTGTGGTTTTTATCCATTATGCAACACAAATGTCAGTGTGCTTCACTAAATGTTAGTATGGTTTATGATTTCTTTTTAATCTGTGCTAATTTGGGGGCTACTTGGCATTAATACAAAGCTTGAAAAAGATAATTAGTGACTCAAATATTGTTGCCAGGTTTCTGTGGTTTACTTTTACCCATACAAAGCATTAAGCAATTAATCTCAAGGTCTTATGTATGGCAAAACAAAACAACCTCTCAGATGTGGCTTACATTTGTTTGAGAAAAACTTCATTGGAAATGAGGAATTTGAAAGAAAGATGAACAGAATATTTATAAACAACAACTATATGACGAAATGCTCCAGTAAGAAGAGGCTAAAGTTAGCATTTGCCAGACTTACCTGTGTTCTGGGTATTCTCAAGCACAGGTAAACCATTTGATAAATGAAAGATCATGTACAAATTGTCAACAGTCCTTACATGTGTATTTTTATAACATCTTTTTTTTTTCCATTAAGACATTTTTCTCCATTTGAGAACATTTGATAGACATATGCCTCAGGTGAAAAGTTGTCATTGAAACTGATGCCAGGTATTGTACAGATGAATTACATTTCCTCCAGTGAATGCTGAGCAAACAGGGGCTGTACAGCCTATGGCCACCAACACTGAAAGTGACTGTCCCTTTAGTGGGAGTAGACAGCCACAGAGCACCTGCAGTGCTGGGAACATGTGATGAGCCACAGCACTGTGCAGGGCTAAAGCACTGGAATGCTGGGGGTTTTCTCATGCTGCAAAATGGAACCAATTCACTGGAAAACAACAGAAAAAGAAAACAAGATCTAAATTTTTTTTTTTTTTTTAGCTCTGTGTCATCTAAATATGTTGTGTATTTATAATTATGCGAGCCAGAATAAACCAGCTACAGACAAATGTCCAAAATTCTGTATTGCACAGGACAGTAACTGTTTGCATTCCTGGGTCAGGTACCATACCTTACCACACCTTAGGCTTCCTCCCCTTCTTTGGTGAAATCCCCAAACTTTGCTTGAGACCATGCTGACAGATGAAGGGTGAGTTCTGTAAATCTTTCTGAACCAAATCACATCAGCCTTGAGTGCATTTTTAATAGGTCAAGATGACCAAGTGCCCTGTAGAAGTGCAGATAGATTGGCCAATGACCTGTGCAAAAAGCCAAGGCTAGGTGGCCACACAGCAACTCTGGAAAAGTTTTCCTCTCTCCTTGATGCCATTCCTTGCTAGAAATCAGAATGAACTCTGTGTGACAACATATAAAACAGCAGATCACCAAATTATTTGAAGTAAACAAAAGTTTTGATGATATAAGTTGTTTTAAAAATATACCTGTGCCTTCAGTGCAAGTACAGCTCTTACATACCCTTTTTCCATCTGTCTAGGTGCATATTCCAACCTCATAAGAAGTTGAAGCATTACTCTTTAGGGCGATTGGGTTTTTCTTCTGAGAAATTTGTGGGAATTAAGACAGAAAATGTTTGAACAATACCCTTGTTGTTACTAGAACATTTCTTAATTGTGATAGTCTGGAGAAATCTTAGCAGTGTTATCAGAAGTGTAAAATTAATCCAGGTAAAATAGCTTTTGCAATGAAGGTAGCAAATGTTTTTGGATTTCCTGTCATGAGGAATGCTTTAAAATCTTTGTAGGGGAAATCAAAGAGACTGGGAGGAAAGAACCAGCAGCCAAATATTTTTGGTGTTTATAACAGGTGTGCAGAAGGTACATAATTTGCTTCAGCCTTTGCAAGTTTGATTAGAATGCAAAGACCTAAAATAACCAATGTTTTTAGAATTTTGTTGCCTCATTTGTCACAGTTTTGGAGATACTGAACACTTTTAACCAATTTGGTGGGAGAGCTTTTAAATTTAGTGAATTTCCCCAGAGTTTGATAGGAACCACTGTATGAGCAGGGAAGAGAGTTCCTATAGTGAGTGCTAGAGAAGTTGCCCATGGATATGTTTGGTGTTGCCCAGGCTGATCTTGATGAAGTTTGAGAAAAGCTGCAGGGGCTTCTCCCAAGAAACATGGGAGGAGTTGAGTAGGAGTAGCTAAGGATGTGAGTCTGAGGGCAAGAACATGGCTTCTCTCCTTCCAACAGGATCGTTCTCTGTTGCTAATGAAGTAATTTTTAAACCAGCTTTTTGCAACAGCTCACTAAAGAGCTGTTCTCCTCTCCTAACTGTTCTACTACTATTTTAAAAAGTGGAAATCTCACCTTGCTTCGTCTGCATGAAGCAATAGAGCTGGCCTTCTTGTAGTCTATCTGCACCACAGCTTTCTTCTTTAATACACATCACCCAAAGCTCATCTGTGTGGTCCCCAAAACCCCTTGCCTACCTTCATGTTGCCTATTATCATAATCTCATTTGAAATGGTTGGTCTCTGTAGTTAAACTTTATTTTTATCTCCTTAGGGATCTTATCTGTCCTACACTTGTGGCCCCATTTCCTCTTCTGGTGAGCCCCTGGAGTGCTTTATGCCTTTCCATGGAACTGTTTACAAGCTGCTTTTGAGGGCACAGCTGTCACTATAAGACTAAAACTAATCCAAAATCAACTAAATATAGCTGTTCCACAGGGAACCATCTTTACTGATAAGGCCAATAAATTACAGGAAAAAATAGAGATCTAGAACATAGGTCCTGTACAGCCAAGACCTGAACAATGGCTAAAACAAAACAAGGTCCAATACAGCCAGGGAAAAACCCAACAATGTGCAAACAAAGCAGTGCAGTTCAGGCAGCCTTGCCTTTCCTCCTGCCTAGGTGAGAGGCACTCTGGGCTTTTCCCTGCTGCCCAAAAGGCAGGATTACTGCTGTGTTCACACTGGGGGTCACAAGGAAGTCAGGGCTACAGTCAGTAATATGCCACACCAAATCCACCACTAGCTGTGCCAAGAATGGGCATGCAACAAAGGAATCCCACAACTCCTTAATTCTTTGCTGTGATGAAGTAAACTCTGTAATTTGCCCCTGTTTAATGGGATTTGATGGGGGCAGGGGAACAACAAATTAAGAGTCACCTTTATTTCTATGCCTGCCATTTTCCAACAGTATGGAAATGAAAGCCCTGCAATGACTTTGGTGGGTTGTGAAAGGCCAAAGATTTGAAAAGGGACTGTAATAGAAGTGCTAGGTAAGAACAACAACCTTCAAGATGCCATGAGGCCCACAGTTCCAGTATTGATTTGGGATTGGATAGATTGAATTACTATGTTTAACTGTAAAAGTAGGCACTCATTTGCATATTGTTGATATTAGGGTAAGATTTAGAAGATAAGAACTGTACTACCCATTGTGCTGTTCTCTCTTTGTTAGCCAGCAGAGTGAGAAGGATGCTGGGGTTGGATATCATTTTACATTCCTCTTAATGAGTGTAGAGGTCACTCATATCTTTTTAAGTCATTAACATCAGGAAAATAAGATTTTCCACCAAAAAAAAAAAAAACTAGCAGCAGGAGAAGCTGCAGACTCATTTTCTACACAGTTTTGCATGGGACCTAGCTAGAACAAGGGTTGTTCCCAAAATTATAAGTCAAATTATAAGACTTTCATTTCACTTGATTCTTTTTCAAAATACTTTCTGACCTTCTGCTTTAAACCAAAAATCTTTTTCCTCCTCTTCCTGAATGTCATACAATATTATAGAATTGTTAAGATTGAAAAGAACCTTTAAGATGATCAAGTCCAACTATCATAGAAAATAATATTCAAGAATTTAGGGAAAATGGACAAGCTGCTCCAGCATTCACTGCCTGTCCTGATCCAAAATTAGCTCCACCAAGAATGTCCATCTTTTCCACTTTCTACTTTGAAGAGCTGTCAATAGAGCTAATAAGCGCTAGGAATTCTAAGGAAGCTGGGCGCAATCAGCAAGTGTAAACCTATACCACAGCCAGATATTTAGATGCTGGGGCAGGAGGGTCCAAATGGCATTTATGAGCTTCTATCAAAAGCTTTTAACTTGGCCAAACTTGGGTGGATTATTTTTTTCTCTTGCAACAGCACAGGATCCCTCCTTGACACAAGTTCCTCTCATTCTCTCATTTTGTTTTGTACATACAGTCTGCTCTGCGAGATATAGAAAATTGTTACCATAATTCTTGGTAAATAGCTAGAGTTGGCAGAGCTTTACACACATACTCACCCACACTCTTAAAAATAAAAGTCCAAACTCAGTCATGCGCTGGGCATGGAGTGTTCAAGCCCAAATGATAAACATTTATGTGCCTTGTGAGAGAGGAGTGATGAGCAAGCACATGAATACATTTTAATATAGCAGCTTTGACATTAACCATTTCAGATTATGCTTTATCTGTTGTGTTCACTTACCTTTTATGAGACTGGTTACGTGAGAGGGACAAATGAGATTTTATTCTTGGAGGGTTTACATCTTAATATCTGAAATGCAGGATGCTTTTGAAGAGTGTTTAGTACATACGGGAAAATAGTATAAAACACAGTATCTGTTTCTTTGTAACTTCATATCAAATATTATTCATCTTGTGAAATAGTAATAATAATATTTTCTTTCCTTGATTTTGGTTCATCATCATTAATAAAATGTTTGTAGGTCAAACTAGATTTTCACTGACAATTGCATAACCTTATAGAGTTGCTGCTGGCTAAAAATAAGCAATTATCCTCCCAGTCTCTCTCTTTTTTCTTTTTTTTTTTTTTGAAGTATTTAACTCCTTGACTTACAGGTGATTTGAACCTTGCTATTACTTCAGCTAGTGGTGATCTATTGACATGAAGCTCACAAAAGATGTAGTAACATGGTCATGGCTCAGAGAGGAAACAGATTTCTGCAGCAGGAAGGGAATCAAGATCTTCAGGGGTGGTCCTGATGGGCAAGGGAAGGACAGAGAGCAAAACACAACAGAAAAATGATACAGCACACGTGTAAGTGACCTGATAATGGTAAAAGCACCACTCTAGGTGCACATTAGAGTCTACATGACTAAACACAACAGTGAAAGAAATCTTACCAGTGCCCCACTGAATGAGCAAAAGTCTTAATCAGAGTCTGAAATAACTACAAAAAACAGAGCAGTTGAAAGTGATGTGTTGGCATGTGTGAAATCTTGAATTGTTCCTTCATTTTCCACCCTCATCAGTCAGATTCCTTTTCTTCTGGTTTTGCTTGCCCTCTCTCCCCTTCCTGGTAGAATTCCTTTGTGGTCACAAATAATTAGTCAAGTTTCCTCACTATCAATTTCCTTATTATCTGATCTTCTTTTAATCTTGCAGCTGAGAAATGATAACATGGTAGGATATCATACGTGTAGGGCTTTTTCTTGTCATGGTTTGGGTGACTTGGGGTTTTTTATGGGCTTGTTTTTTTGTTTTGTTTTTTTTAAACAAGGCACACGCAGATTATCATATCTCACATTAGTTCTGCTCAGTCCAAACCAAAATATTCAGCACTAGATAGTGCCTGATCTGAACACTGATGCATACAACTGGCTTTTGATTCAGTGCCAGTGTAACTGAGGAGAACGAGCACCTCTCCAGAGATGTATATTTACATCATTAGCATCTAGACAAGCCAGCTGAGATCAGCTCACTCTTTCTCTAAATACTACGCTCTCTAGAAAGCAAGACCATAAAACCTGATGATTATTATGAAGATTAAGGACAATCAGCCCTTAATTAATGTGTTGGGGAGCAGGACGCAAGTTGAAAATCTGAAATATGAGAAAGCATATTCAAAATCTTTGTTCACAGACTGGCTGAACTGTGGTTTCAGCACACAGCAAAATTACAATCTTTTACAAACAGCTGTCTGCCAAATGACTCTCAGTAATGTCTACATTGACACTTTTTGTCTGGCCATATAGTCAGGTAATGCAGCTTAGACAGAATTGTGTGGAAAAATACATATTGTGTCTTGCAAGAAATCTGCTTCCATTTAGAAACACTGATAGCATCAAGGAAACTGAATTGACAAATCATTTTATTGACTCTTCAATGTAAAACTCAAATGAGAACTGAAAGTCTTAGAGCATTAGAGAAATAAATTCTGGTGGTTTTTTTACTGAAACATGGGACATTGTGGTAGCACCTCAAGCACAGGCGCTGAAGCTTCCCAAGATACATTATGAGTTTTACAGTCAGAACATGTGTAAGGGAGAACTGAAAGTCATCTCTTAAGCTGAAAACTCCTAACTAGAGGAAGTTCATTTCACTGCTTCTCTCTGCAGTGAACAAGGCATGTATCATTTTACACTCCACGTTACAAATTGGGGGCCGTAGAGAAATGGCGTGTGCAAGGGACTGGGTAGTGAAAATCCAACACATTTAGTTGGAGAACAGGTGGGCAGAAACTTGAGTCCATAGGCTTTGAAGAGTTCCATGCATGCTTATTTTATGCAGATAAATAATCTTGTTTACTTCATGAGTACCTCCTATAAAGCTCTGTAAATATGTGTGAGCAAGTAAAATGCCTTGTGCTGATCCTGCAGGGACTGTCTGCCCCTGCTGTAGGGCAAAGCTGCCTGCAAGCCTGTATCACTGCCTTTAAATCCTCTGTGTGTGTGTGCATTGTTATGTGACAGCACTGCATCCCTGTGAGCATTCCAAAGCATTTATCCACCTTTGAGAACACTGGAAGGCTGACCTAATGGTAAGCACACAGAAATGTGGAGAAATGAGCTGCTGAACTACAGGTTAAAAGATTTAATAAATGGGAATTTTCACAGTCAAGTTGCAATAAATATTGTGGGTCTTCAGTAACAGCAGGTTGAATCTTACTGTGGTGTGAAACCTAACTGCAGTGTACTTTAAAATATCATGAGGTACCATCAGCAGTAATTCTTGCTAAAGTTGCACTGGAGGAGGTGAATAAAGTTTAGTAATTGGGCCTTTACTCAAAATGTAAACATATGATTTAACAGATTGATGGAACAGATTATAGACATAAATAAACCTGGATCATGTTACTTTTTTAGAATATTAACTGAGGTTAACAAATGCTGCATGAAGAAAAAGAAATTGCCTGGGATTCCACTGTCAGCAGTTTAAAATGCATTCACTGCTAATCTCGTGACAAGCATACAACCAATCCCAGCTGCACCTGGGGCTCTCAATTTTGTTGGCACTGTGATTATTGGAAACTGAATTCCAGGCCCATCTCCCTGCTGCTGCCATGCCATAAAGGGGCAATTTATATATCAAACTTATAAAGCATTTGTCATCCTCTAGATGTTAAAGAATTTTAGCAAGTGATGTGAGTTTAGAATGTCAGGATGAATAAGGTATGAGCTTGGAAACAAATAAACTTTAAAATGCCTTCTAGCTTTTTGACTCCAAAGGACTTGAAGCAAGGAAACAACAACAATCACATCCTGTTTTGTCACTTAGTCATGTCAAGTGCCAGTAGCCATTACCATTCCTTCAGCCTTTCTGTCCATAGTCCCAGCTGTTCCCATCATTAATTAAGCCAAACATGCTGGCTCTATTTAGAAGTCCGTAGCTATAATTCACCTCTTAATACCTGTAATTAATCATACCTTCTGGAAATTCTTCTCTCCACTGGAAATGGCACTGGTAACCAGACTGCTTTTCGTTTTTGCTCTTGTCTCTTTCTATATCTGTTTGATTTGTTTTATGAGTAGCAATACTTCATGGATATGGGCTGAAAAGTAAAAGTAATTTTAAGTGTCAGGCAGAAGAACTTAATTCAAGGAATTGAATTTTCAAACATAACTAGTGATAGATTGCAAGGATTTTGTTGATGTTTTGTTGTTCTAAGTTTTAAAATGCTCCATAATATTTGGTTCATTTCTCTGTTTCACAGATAATGTTTTATCAAGAAAAGAGATCAAATAGTTTACAAAAGTATAATAACCAACTGTGTTTAGAATTGGTCATTATCTGTACAGCAAAGTGGGAAATTCTGAGGGACTAGTTTTTAAATTGACTGCCTGAGCCATGTGATCTAGCTAAGCCTCCAAAATATGAAAAGTATGCTTAATCTGGTAATGACTTTTTTGCTCTCTTACTACCAAGGCAACATAATCAGTGTTGATATCTGGAAAGTTTCTCTCTGAAATCCACTTAACTTTACTCTCAATAATATGCACAAATTCTCCCTGAAACCTCTGTAGCAAATGTTAAGGCTGAGATTTTTGAGTCCAGTAAAGCCCAGATGCCCAATGTCTACTGAAATCTAGCTCCAACAAATGAACTTTCACAAAAGGCCTAGCATAATAAGTTGTTTTCCAGTACTTTCAATTAAATACACATTTTGACTTGACTGTGGCTGTAGCTGCAATGACAGGAAGCTGTGATGTTTAAAATAGAACTCAATAATTTATTGCCAGCATTACATCTTCCTGACACCTTGGTGTTCCTCTTGTCCCCCACCCCTCATCTGCTGCAGCTCTTGAAAAGAGCCAGAAGGATCAATGCAGAGAGTGGCACCTCCAGCCTTGGGCCCACCTCCCTGCAACTGAGGTTATTAAGTTCTTCTCAAACTGCAGTGAACTTGGCAGGGGGCAGCTTTCCATGTTCAGCATCAGAATATCTCCTGTTGTACCACATTTCTATCTAGGCCTGCCGAGGGTTGGGGGTTTTGGGTTGGGATGGGGTTTTTGCAGTCAGCTTGGCAGTCAGGGTGTGTTATTGGTACTGCAGAGAAGGGATAACCACGGTTAGTCAGTGTTTGAACACCTCAGTCATGTCATTAACTCACCTCATTAACTTGCTTTCCTAGCTGGTATGGGGGAAAGGTTTCCCTTGTACTACTTATCCAGCCTCTGTTTTGGAGTTACTGTGTGGTGCTGGTGCTGTGATATTGATGCCTCTTACATCATAACTTATTCTTCCATTCCTAGTTTTTCTATGGTGAAAAACTAGGAATGGCAGAATAAGTTATGATTTTTCTATAGTTTTTTGAGGTTGGTTTCTTTTTTTTTTTTTTTCAGCCTCTGTTTTGGAGTTACTGTGTGGTGCTGGTGCTGTGATATTGATGCCTCTTACATCATAACTTATTCTTCCATTCCTAGTTTTTCTATGGTGAAAAAGTAGGAATGGCAGAATAAGTTATGATCTTTCTATAGTTTTTTGAGGTTGGTTTTTTGTTTTTTTTTCCTTAGTGATGCTGGCTTGCTCTCAGCTTCGTTGATGGCCTGTAATTAGCTGTAGGTTTATATGGACCTACAGTTAGCTTGGACTCAGCATCATAATTCAAAGTATTCTATCCTTAGCTCTCCTAATAACTTCTCATAAATGAGTTCATATATATGTCACTTAATAATTATACATCATATATATTGAGTAAACCTGGCAGTGTATACACTCACAGCTTCTTCTGGACTCTCCAATGAAAATAGCTTTATTCTGTGTAATTTTGGGGGTGTGGTTTGGAGGTTTTGAGTTGGGTTTTTGGTTTCGGTTATGTTTCAGTTTTGTTTGTTTGGCTTTTTTAAATGATCCTGCTAATCTGTTGTTGTTAAACCCAGATGATGCTGGTACACGTGACAGCCACTGAATGTTAGTGAAGCTATTTCTGTGTTCTTAAATTACTTTGTTTCAGTCCAACATCACTATTAGCTGATAGTTTTCCCACTTATGGTCACTGATGCAGAGAGTTAATGCAATACCTCCATATTTTCCCACTGCACTTGGGTCCCACTTGCAGGTACTTTCCACACATTTAATGGTGCCCAGTTCTAAGCTGAATGCTTATCTTCAACCCACCATTCAGGACAACTGTTTTGAATGGTAAAGCTTCCAGCATCAAAAGAAATCATGTGCATGTTTGTGTGTGGCCATCACTTGTTTGCTGTCTGGCAAACACATCCATATGCCATATTACATCAGTTTTTGTGTTTAAACACTCCACATAAAACTCCCACCTAACAATGGTCGAGATCTGTGGAGCTCCAGTCCATAGCTAAGGTCAGCACATCTCATAAGTGAAGAGTTACTCAGATTTTGTTTGGGCCCATCTCAAAAAAGTCCATACTAAGAGAAATTTTCCACCTTTTTTCTGCTGCCACTCCCTCATAGCATTTATAATGTTTGCTTACCTTGGGGCTCAGGAGGGAAGCAGTCTTTCCAGCCAAGCTGCTGTGTTAGCCTTTAATCAGTTGTTGGGAGGAGCCATAGTTAAAACTTTTACTTTTTTCCTAGATTGATGACTTCCTGGCTTTCCTTCTTTCTTTGTTTCTTGCTTACAATCCCAAAAGTGTGCTTTTGCATCCACTGAAAGGTGCAGAGGGCTTTGGAGGCCCATGTAGCAAAGATTAAGGACATTTCAGCAGATTTCAATTTAGGAGCTAAAGAGAATAGCAAAGGTTAATCAGGAGACTGCTTTAATCAAAAGTTTTCTTGTCTGTACTGATGAAAGTCTAAAACATATAAACTGATCAATAGCTTTAAAAGCCAGATGTATTCTCTTGCTTTGAAGCTTTTTCCAAAACAGCCCTTTCCAAAAGCACAGGATAACTTTGGAAACTGCAGACAAGCTTCTAGAGCTCCACCCAGTCTGTAGCAGATCTAGTACTTATTCTATCTTCTTTCTGTTTTGGGCATGCTAGAAGGAGATTAAGAGCCTAAAGAAGCTGCATTTCTGCAGAACTGTCAGCATAATTTTCCTGTGCTCCAACAAGGCATTTCTACTGCCTCTGAAACTGCCTCTCTTGGACCATGACACTGATTTAGCTCCAGCTGGTTTAGCATGACAGGCAAGACCACCTTATTGACAGATATTGGGGCTTACTATGAGAAAATACACACTCCATAAAATAAAGATGATGATCATAAACTTGGGGAAACAGCTGAGGGGGATAACAAAAGGCTTCAAAGTGAGTGGAAGAAAATGTCTTTTCCACTGGAATATATTTTCACTTTTTTACCAGAAATTACCAAACTCTTCCCAATCTGTAACCAGGGCAGCCACAACTCAAATCCATTGCCTGTACCATCCTCTCTGTCCCCTACATCCAGTGACAGCCAAAGGCAGTGAGGGACAGCTGCTATGGCCAGTCCTACAGAGCCACATTTGCTCAGCAGCTCTGCCTTCAGCTCCAGAAGTGCCCCCAGGACCTCTGCACTATGTTCCAGTATGTAACGTAGATAAGGCAGCAAATCATCACACTGCCTCATCTTCAAGTGAAGGCTTTTCCAGTTTAGGACTCTTGATTGCTTTGTCCCAAATGTTTGTTTCCCTTGTCCCTTTTTTCCTAACTCAAAAGTTGGAAACATTGTCAGGAATACATTCCTTCAGAAAAGGACAAGATAAGGTAATATACAGTGCCACTAAATCTAGTGACCTCCATAAACTTCCTATGAACACATGCAGTTTGCAGAAATGCTTTTTAATTCAGCTGATTGAAGAGCATGTAAACAGACAGATAATGCTCAAACTGTGTGTATACATGGGTGTAGATTTTAAGGATGGAAGAGAGAGCATAAAAAAATCTTAAACTATACAAGTATTTTGACTAGGCTTTACAAACTCCTTTCACTTTGGACTTTGGCCCAGAGTGTAACCATATTATGATTTCTTAGCATGAAACTACAGCTCTGATGGTTTAATTCTTCTGTGAATGACTAACACTCTACCAAAATCTTTGTTTAAACACAGAAGAATGCGTGACCTTCAAACAAATCATTTGTCAGTACATGAGAACCTGGCTAGGAACAGTGCAGGAAGCACATGGAGCTGGGCATTGTACCATGAACACCATCCCTTCCTTTTCTCCTGCCTCATGCCATCCTCAGGCCCTCTCTGATTGGTGTCACTGCAGGGAAGTACCTCCACCTTACTCTTTGTGAGAACAAAGGGCTTCACTACGTGTTTGCAAACCAGTTTACTTCTTGCAGCCTTCCAAAGTGGTTCACCAGGTGGTGCTTTTCTTGCCAAAAGGGAGGCTAAGCTCAGTTCTTGGGTTCCTGTTGACTTCCAGACTCACTGGGAACTGGATGCCCTTATCCAGAGTTCTGAGTAAAGCAAAAAGATGCATCCTTGGTTACTAAATATTTGTTATCTACCATCACCCTTCAGCTGCTCTTTGGTAAAATAGGTAGGTGGTTGTAATAGGTACTTGCTTGGGGGAATTCCAAACAGGAAAACAAACATTTCCATAGTTAGGTGAGTTCTTTCCCTGCTCACAAAAGCCTAGGTTTCAAATACACTGTTAGCATGAAGTTTGGATATTCATGTTGCTGCTTTCTGAACAGGAGTTAAATAGGCTTTGCACTACAGTGGGGAAGAGTGTCTGGTCTGGAGAGGGAGACAGATATATTGGAATTAACACCTACACAATTCAGAAAATGCATTTCTTCCAACCCATCAATAGCCTTGCACATTGGCAGCTTCTCTGTCAAAAAATTGGCTGTTACAGGGACAGCTACTGACAGCCAGCTCAATCCAGAGAGCTGCTGGATGAGAGGAGGTGGCATCCTCCTCACCCTGAGAATCTGCTGAAGCCCCAGATTTCAGATGACTGGGCATCAGCACTCTGCTTTGACTCCTCTATATGCAATGAGGTCCTCAGTTACCTTCCTGCAATGCTAATTAGCCAAATTCATATGCAGTGCTGCTGAGTGAAGCAGCTCCAGGTATTGGCTCTCTGGAGATGACTTTGCCCTCAGAAAATAGTCCAGATTTTAATCAGACTGTGTTAGTGAGTTAAAGCCACTCTGTAGCTTTAGGTGGCCATTGATAATGACGTTGGTGGAAGACTGTCCTAGCTGCTTGGGATCTTGCTCAATCTCACTTCTTCACCTGGTGGGCATCCACATGAAAAAACAGAGAACACTTACAATTTCGTGATCCTTCAACACCAGGCTACCTGGTTGTGAAATGCAGAGGATGGCAAAAGCTGCACTTGATAATAAGTATATTAACTATTAAATGCATACCCTGCAGCATGATGTTCTTTCCAATAAAACAGGCAGCAACAAAACCAGATTGCTCTGGATAGGGAGCATGCAACAGCCCAGACTGGATTTTGGCAGGATGAACATCACAAACAGTAACAGGCCCCCTCTTGTAAAAAAAAAAATACATTAAATTGTTAATGTCACTATATAATCAGAGCTTTGATCTTGATTCCAAGAAAAGAAACCTCAATCCAGCAGTTGAAATCTCTACAGCCAGCACAGGCATTTGGTATAATAATGGCACAGAATAAGCTCCATGGTGCTGTCTGCTGCTAGCACTCCCACTCTCCTTGGCCTAAACGTACCTACTTAATCTAAAAACCTAGGAAGTTTGAATTTTATTGATCACCAAAAATCCTTAGAGTTTTTAAATGAATTCATTCTAAAAACAGGTGAGAAGCCTCCATTCTCCAAGAAAGGATGTTCCATGGCAGATTCTAGCCATCACTTCCCTTGCTTCCCAAGCAAATCTGAAATGATTACAACAAAGTTTACTTTGGTATTAATTTCCTTAATGGATAGCACTTGTTCTTTCAGTGACATGTTACATGTCAAATCCTAAATGTTCCAAATCTTACCTTTATGAAAACAAATTAATTCTATTGCTACTTCTTGTGTGAGAGCATGTAGAATCTGGAGGTTCTCTGGCCATCCTCCAGACAGGTAAAAAAAGGCTTCCAGGACTGTACTTTTACGGTATGAGGGGTTTTGTTAAACCGCCTGTGCAGAACTCAGCTGGTAAATGCAAGCTGAGTTACAAGGGTAACTGAGTGACAGCAATGCAAGGAAATATTCAACAAGTTGAGGCATTGAAAATGACTGGGATTACAGCAAAAGTTAAGTACTGTGTGTCTTCAGTATTCAGGCCTTAAGTAACAGCTTTGCTTTTGCTGTAAAGGATTCCTTGCATAGCTCCTATTTTAGTTCCTGAGCATTCTGAAATATATTTGTATCTCAAGTCTGGTTTGTGGTGTATTTCAGAAAAAGGACTGCATCAAGGGAGATCTAAAAAAGCACAAAATCAGGCCACTGCTTATGTTTATTATGTGAGAGGTAATTTGAGCATTTCTTCGCTGGAATTCACCCTCATTAGTGATGCTTTCCCAAATTATTTTGGCTGCTTTAGCTGTCTCTTTAACAGAAGATGTGTCTAATTTACTTGCCCTGCACTCACATCTGTTTCATTCTTATCAGCAAATATCTATTCATTGGTCCTATCTAACTCTTTTACATCTATCTGCATTAAAATGTGTGTCACTCACTAACTCAGGGTTTGTACATAAATTAACGCCTCCTGTATGTCCTGTAGCAGTGTTATTCTTTCTGCTTATTGCATCACCTAAAAATAAAATTACATTTCATTTATAGCAGATATCTAATTCATATCCCTTAACTATTTCTTCATTCAATCAGTCAATTTTTGCAATTAGATTGTGTTTGAAGTCCTGTGAGTTTGACAGAGTATTTGTATTCTGAACATTCTGTTTCCAAACTTGACAGGTGTGGGGGGCTTTCTGTTTGGGTTTTTCTGTTTGTTCTTTGTGCAAGAAATAAAAGGTTTCTGACTATTTTGTAATAACTTTGAGAATTATTTAGATAGAAAACTCACAGGTCTACAAACCTGGACTGTATTAGCCTTAACCCTGTAATGAAAGTCCAGCATCTAGAAGACAGTTCAATATTTAAATATTAATTTTTAGTAAGCTACTTGTTGTTATTTTCTGTCCTAGAAATCTACTTGAGAGATAATATTTGAGCAGTTCTTCTAACTACTCTGTAATCATGATGATTTTTTACTTCTTGAGTACTAAAATATTCTCTATGTAGGAATGTTCATATTTGCTTTTCACACAATTTAAAAATCTTCCCACACATTTCTTTTATTACAAGAAATATAATTTCTGGTAATAAAATAAGATGTTCATGGCAAAGCACTATATTATACAGAGAACACACTATTGCAAAAATTAAAGGTAACCTTGATCATCTAAATTAGGTCTTGAAAATTAATGCTGATCTATAATCTTCGCCCAGGAGAAATGTAATAAGTCTTCACAAACAGTTGCATCAGATTTCTAGCATTTTATCTAAGTATGTAACTCTACCCCAGCTGAATGACTAAATACTTAGCACTCGATTATGGGTTTGTAATGGAGAGCATTTAATTTGTTTCAGTTACCTGTACAAATAATTCTAATCTACAGATCACTTGCCCTGGTTTGAATAATGTTCATATTTAACACAGCAAAATGCATGCGTCTAAACTTGGCTTGCAGTGTTGAAACAGCTTGTTTAGACAGACAGATATTTGATGGATATTTAGTATCTCAGATATATTTATCACACTAATTCTGTTTATAATACTAATTCTATTTAGTCAAATGTGCAC